TAAGAGATGGTCATATTATTTCAGCCTGTGACCAGATAATATTGGTCAAAGGTAAGACTAGGGAACCAGCCAACCCCAAAAATGACTATTCTGATCCCCACCCCATGTGTGATGACAAAACCAGGTCTTCAGTTTTTTTCTGAAGTCTAACAGGGAGGGGGCCAACCTCACTCCTGGGGGAAGAGTGTTCCAAAGGGCAGGGGCTGCTCAGAGAAGGCTCACCTCCTGGACCCCGTCTGATGAAATTCTCTTGCAGACGGAGTCCGTAGCATGCCCTCTCTGTATGACCGGGTGGGATGGGTTGATGTGATGGGGATGAGGTGGTCCTTCAGGTCCTTCATTTGTACAACACACTAAGCTACTGTGAATTACTGGGAACAATAATTCTGTCGCTAGCAGTATCTCCATCAAAGTGTTTTTCATTTTTTCCCCCAGCCTGTAATTTGAAGGTAATTGGAGGTGAGAAAGCCGTGTCAGCTGAAAGCAACAAAAACATCCATGCACATAGAAAACTATCATATCAGGGAAACTGATTCTGGCTTCCTCCTTTGAGGAATAGAACAAGAATGAATTGTCCTTATCCTAAAACAGAGGGGAAAAAAGAGAAAAAGAGATGACCTGGAAAATAATGTTATAAACAGAAAAAAAAGTTGGTTCTATCATGCTTCTTCGAAATAAGGTAGTGTCAGTGATGTGCAATACATGTGAATGGGAGGCGAGTGAAGTACATGCTTCTTAGCAACCACAGTTGAGTGATGCAGCCGCAAAGAGTGATGGAATTGACACAAAGGAATATAAACAATTTAGGGCTTTGATTAAGATGCCCATCGAGAGGAGCAGATGTGAAACTTGGCTGCTTTATGGCATGGATATATTGTGTAACAAAGAAGTGGCTGTGTGTTTGTAGAGGTGTGATTCAGTCATAAGAGAAGCTCTGGAAATCACAGCTTTGGCTTGAGGGTGGTCACTAGATAATGCTAGCCTAGATTTAGCATTTCATGCACGAATCTCTTTGGGCCTATTTGGGCTTGAACCACCCACCTTCCCTGCTTTCCTTTCTTTCGGTGGGCTTGTGGGAGGACTACTGTTGAGTTTTATCCTGGATTCGCACATCCTGTTAAGCTGGCTGGATTTGTACAGCAGACTAAGCTACTGTGAATTTGTTAGAACCATGTTATCTGTTATCCATAGATGATAGCCATAATTCTCCAAATATGCCCATAATTTTGTAGAACAATCAAAATTTGCAAGACCTCTGCAACCTTGAATAAGATCTTACGAGATTTTGCTGTAGTTTACTTTTAAATATTTTAATCTCAAACCCTTTTTTGCTCTCTTCCAATATCACATGCCTGCAAAGCACTTGGAAAATGGCCAACTTGTATGCTATGCCCTAAACCTGGGACGGGCAACATTTACAAGCCATGATAAAGTACATCATAATTTTTTCCAATTTCTTGCTTTTCATTATTTATATTTTTTAAAATTGTTTTAATCATTGAAATTGTTCGCTGCCCAGAGTCACTTGGACTGAGATGGGCAGCTATCAAAATTGCATAAATAAATAAATATTAAATAAATAATGCACAAAGCTTAAAACAAATTCTGACATATTAAATCAACAAAGCAACCAAGATGTCCTCATAACTTTTTACCCATTAAGTAGGCAATAGTCTATTTTAAACCATTATTCTTGGTTCCAGGGTAGCAAGCCTTTTGATTGATTATGTGCCATCAAACTCTAATGACCACATAGACAGATTTTCTCCATGGCTTTCTATCTCTAACCTGTTCTTTCAGGACTCCCAATGGTGCACCCCTCACCACTATAACTGAGTCCATCTACCTTGCTGCTGGTCATCCTCTTCTTTTTTCTTCTACCTTTCTCAGCATTGGAACCTTTTGTGAGAAAGCGAGGTCTTCGCATAATGTGTCTGAAGTGGAACCTTTGAACTTGCTCGTTTGTGCCTCAAGTGAGATCTCTGGGTTGATTTGTTCAATGAACCATTTGTTTATTTTCTTAGTTGTGCACGGTATTCTCAGGAGTCTTCTCCAACACCAACGTTCGAAACTGTCAAAACTGTTCCTATCCTGCTTCTTCAAAGTCCAACTTTCACTTCCTTAGAGTGTCACAGGGAATACTGTGGCTTGCACGATTCTGACCTTTATAGGTAACAAGCCTACAGTTATTAAAAACTGAACAGTGGGTAGATTCTCTTGGCTACACAGAAGGACAAGGAAGAGGTCATGAGCTTGCAAACAAAGTTCTGAACTTGGACACAGAATTGAAAATACTAAGCTCTTCCTGTATATATACATTTGGCTTTTTTTTTTTTTCAAAAAAGCTTTTATTGTAAGACAAAAAAACAGAAAAAGGAAAAAACAAGACAAAGGTATACATTAAAGATTTACAAAATATAAAAAATATGTAAGAATTTACAAGACGGCAAAAGAAAAGCAATGCACCGTTATTCTTACAAGTGACATTGAACTGAAACAGATAGAAAGAAAATCCTATATCAGTTTAGCACTTTAAGAACTGATACTAAATTCAAATCAAAAATTGACTAAAACAGTCAAGATGATAACAATTATCAGTCAAATTAAGAACATAATGAGAATTAGCAAGAATTTCTAACTAATAGGAAGTAGTATCTTTATGGCCAATCAGATGAAATCTAGTTTGGTGTGATGGTTAAAGTGTTGGACTAGAAACCAGGAGAATGTGAGTTCTAGTTCTCCCTTAAAGTGTGATGGAATGGAATTATGAAGGCCAGGCTCAGGGAGAAAAACATTTTCTTTCATCT